GGAGTTCCCAGTTTCTCATTTATTGGTTGTTTTATTCACTTTCATTTTAAGTGAGAGCTGGAGAAGAAGCAGCCAGAGACAGGTGAAGCAGTCATTTGTTTTAAGGGTGGGCATTTTGCCTAATATACCCCTTCCATAGTAGTACTTCTACTCACTGACCCAATTGTTAACTTGTGGGAAAGCATTCCCAAGCTGTTGTATATGCAGATTGTGGAATGCATGTATCGGAAAGGTGTTTAGCAAAGCAAATTGCAACACTCAATAGCTCTATCAATTTCATCAAGCAACATTTTTATATCCTCCTTTGAAGCAGTTTGAAGATGAATAATAAAACTGCTGGCAATCAGCTTTAAGTAGCATAAAGCTTGCCTTAAAAGGTGATTAGTCTCATCAGCAGGGTGTCTCAAAGAAATTAGCCACAGCAATTCTAAAACCTGGTGGCAGTTAAATAGATGTTCTGAACAGAAGAATCACAACAATTTACCCTCTAATGCTTTCCTTTTCTTTCTAGTCCATTCCTTAATCCCAGTCCTTAATCCCAAATTTGCCTTCTCAATTTGGTTGCTAACTTGCAACTAGCACCCATGTTCCTGACTGGGTTTATGGAAATCTGACAGAGCAATCCCGTGCTTGTTTACTCAGAAATAAGCCCAACTGGGCTGAACTGGATTTGCAGCCTTAAGAGAGTTGAAAATACCACCAGGGATATAGTGGTATACTGAATGAGACAGTATCAGTTCCCAAAGATCTATTTTTGACATCTATTAACAATTACCTTCTTTTGACTAGCAACATTTTGTGTGGATTGGTTGTTGCATTTAAGTCTCTCTACCCTGGAACAGATCTGTGTAATTTATTGCCCACAAGCTGCATTGCTTTGGACAACCCCACAACCTCTTCTAAACCTCAATTTGGGTCAAGTGCCACCCAACATGGAAGGAAAAGTGAACTGTTAGTGAAAAAGGAGATCATTCTGTTCCTGCCCTAGAACTAGCCTTCCTTCCTTACTTACTTCTTTCCTTGAAAGAGAATGTGGGTGTAAAACTTTACAGAATGGAAGTATGTGAATGGGAGGCTGCTGATGGAAGGGATTTGTGGGAATGAGGACTGTGTGAATATGGGGATGTGGGTGGCTGTGAAAGAGAGAGAAGAGGCAAGGGAGACAGAAGGAAATGAAAGAAGATGACATTACAGAATGAGAGCAGGAAGAGATGTCCCTTTTTAGCTTGTGTTTCTCTTTTCCACAGATATGATGGATGAACTGTGTGTTGGGGGGGGGGGATAGATGAATCTATCCACAAATTGGGTTTTCTCAATTTCTCGTCTTCATAATTTTAATTTCAATTCTCCACATTGATTTGCATGAAAAAGTAACCATGTAAATTCATCAGCATTTTGGTGTGGTATGCAATTTTGCCTAATACACACATTTTTGCAAAGCAATGCATGTTGAATGTATGCTATTGTCATGAACTGGCAGAACAACAGGGAGGAGGAAGAGGATCCTGGCGAGGGGTGCAGCTGTGACTGGGACCCACTGGGACAAGCTGGGGATGGGAAAGGAGAGGTTGGGATTGTGAAAAGTACTAACAGGATGGCAAGGGGATGGGTCTCAGTGTGCAGGGACCAGAAAAGCAGAACCCATCATCAGAGCCAGGGAGGCCCCTGTCTCCATGAACAAGATGGGCTCTACTGAGGCATATGAAGCAGCTGGAGGTACACTCTGGGAGGTTGAAGGAGGCAAGGACACACAGTCTAGTTCACTAGCTGACCAGGTGGGGTTCATTAGCTCTGGGAAGAGGCGTGTGATTCTTCAGCTGGATTAGGCTCAGGACAGGTGAGGATCACATGCCTCATCAAGCCCAGGTGCTACAATCAAGACAAGCGAGTAAGGAGAGCAGAGCTTTGGTCTACTCAACTGCCTAAGGTGATGGACATTGGCTTGGATTCTCCACAACCTCTATGGGACTGTGCTTCTGGGCTGTTGGACTTGGCTTATGTGGTTTGACTCCAGAAAATGTTTCCTGACCATTGAACTTTGATCTTGACCTACTATATACATCAACGGGACTTGCTGCTAGGTGGGCCCGGGGTTCAAGACAGTTATTTTCACTACTATATGCATTTCTATGGACAATTTACCCTGGAATGCACATTTTTGTATACCGGTACTTTACTTGGCTGAAGAACTGCATCTCAAAATTTTGAGAAATGTGAATTGTGGAGGATGGTTGTTTTGGTTCATGTAAAAGATAAAGGTAAAGGACCCCTGACAGTTAAGTCCAGTTGCAGATGACTCTGGGGTTGCAGTGTTCATCTCACTTTACAGGCCGAGGGAGCCGGCTTTTGTCTGCAGAGTTTTTCCAGGTCATGTGGCCAATATGACTGAGCCACTTCTGGTGCAACGGAACACTGAAACCAGAGCAGCTCATGGAAACATCGTTTACCTTCCCGCTAAGCCAGTACCTATTTATCTACTTGCACTTTTTGTTGTTCTTTTGAACTGCTAGGTTGGCAGGAGCTGGGACAGAGCAACGGGAGCTCACCCCGTCGCAGGGATTCGAACCACCGGTCATCTGATCGGCAAGCCCAAGAGGCTCAGTGGTTTAGACCACAGCGCCACCCACGTACCATCCTTTAGTTCATGCAAAGGTAAAGGTAAAGGGACCCCTGACCATTAGGTCCAGTCGTTACCGACTCTGGGGTTGCGGTGCTCATCTCACTTTATTGGCTGAGGGAGCCAGCATACAGCTTCCAGGTCATGTGGCCAGCATGACTAAGCTGCTTCTGGCGAACCAGAGCAGCACACGGAAATGCCATTTACCTTCCCGCCGGAGCGGTACCTATTTATCTACTTGCACTCTGAGGTGTTTTCGAACTGCTAGGTTGGCAGGAGCAGGGACCGAGCAATGGGAGCTCACCCCTTCATGGGGATTCGAACCGCCGACCTTCTGATCGGCAAGTCCTAGGCTCTGTGGTTTAACCCACAGCACCACCCGCATCCCTCATTGGTTCATGTAGAAAGTGTTAATTGGGTAGCACCTCTAAATGCAAACTGAATCAAATTCGTCTCCCCATCTGTGTGAAAGGGGAGGGGGGCACAGCGGAAATATGAATGAATAATAAATGAAGAGGCAGGGGAAGAGAGAGGGATCTTCCTATCCCCTTTTTTCAGTCTCTGGTGGTCACTAATATGTAGCCCATGACAGGGTTGGGGAACCTTGGAAGCTTGACAGGCCAGACGCTTGTATCTACAAGCCCTGTAAGGCAAATTTAACAAATGTCTGCATTTATTGAATCATCCTGGAAATGCACTCCAGAGTGAAAGCCATGTCTTTACCTGCCTTCTACCTGACATAATTTCTGGCAGTCCAAGTGGATGTGGTTTAGGAAAAATTGCCTCAAGGGCTCAAATTGGGATTCTTGCCAGACCTGATTAGGCCCACAGGCAGGGTATTCTCAATTCCTGCCCTAAAGCAGCGGTACTCAACCTGTGGGTCCCCAGATGTTGTTGGACCACAACTCCCATCATCCCTAGCTAGCAAGGCCAGAGCTCAGGGATGATGGAAGTTGTAGTCCAACAACATCTGGGGACCCACAGGTTGAGAACTGCTGCCCTAAAGGAATGATAACCTTGGCACTCAAACATTTGCTCACCGCTGTTCTACAAAATAATAATAATAATAAAAATGTCTTGCAGTTACGTCCTCCAGGAGCCCAGAACAAAGAATTAAAAAGGCACCTGAACTACTTCACTTATCTCCATTCAGCATATGAAGTAGAACTGAGACACAAGCTGTGATGGCTTCCATCTGAATTTCTGTGACCACAAGCCACTCCAGACTGAACAGCTCTTTTCTGCAAAATTGCAAGTCGAATTTCAATTAGTACTTTGCTGTAGTGCTCCAGCCTTTCAAAACTCAGGGTGAACTCTATTAATAATAATTTGCAAAATAATGATCCACACTATTTGAAATCAAGTGTAACAAAATGCAGTAATTTGGGTTTGAAGTCATTAATAAATCTAGCCTTTGTAGCTGCTGCCGTCATGGATGGGCTGGCAACCATTTGGACCCTTCAGTTGCTAAGGATAATCATACTCCTTTGGGGAAAAATTTACACAGATTTTTTGCAATAACAGACCTTTCTGACTATGCCCAGAGGCAATTAAAGTCTTTTAGGATTGTCATAGGAGAATTCTTTTTAGGGTTTTCTCCTCACCCCGTTTCTTCTCTGTAGTATAACGTTTTTTGTATCTGAACATGAAAATTCAGTACCAGAATCAGATAGAGCTCAGAGTGCCTTCTACGAATGCACCCTGGCTGTGACCATAGGGAAGCAGTTTTCACATTTTTTGAGGGTGCAAAATGTAGAGAATTTGTCAGAGGGCTTACCTTATGGATGAAGTAGTAAAGGGTCAATTTCTTCTCTGGTTCTTTGACCCACCCATACCTTTGTCACCAGCTTAAGCAGTGGGAGCCTACTCAGGCACCTTCATTTTCCAATAGATGCCCAGTGGAAACATAGGGCTGCATTCAACTAAATCCTACTCAGAGTAGACCCACTGAAATTAATGAACCTAGGTTAATCATGTCCATTAACTCTCCTCTGAGTAGACGAGCATAGACTATAACCCATACTATTCCCAGAGTGATCAATCCCTCTTTCCGACAACCTGTAGCTCTGTGGGCAATAGGTTCTTCTACGAACTCTCAGCACCCTTGGACTACAGTTCTCGGGATTCTTTGGGAGAAAATATGACTGTTTTAAGTGGTATGATATTGCTTTAAATATTTAATGCAGATGGGGCTTTCCTGTGAACGTATGGATTAATTTCCAAACAAATACCATTTCATGCTACAGGAAAGCAAACAAGTTTGCCACTAGTTGTAAACTCAGGGCACATTTAACTTTCACCCAGCTTTTTCCAGGCACAGGTCTGTGCTTAAGAGCTCAGTGTCCGAGAGGGTTTTTTTTGTTTTTGTTTTGCCCTGGAGCTTTCCCTGTGAAAACCTGCTCTTCAGCACTCAATCAGAGCAAATGGCAAAAAAGGTTTTAAGTGGGTTGCTGTTTGCTCCGGTTGAGCTTTAAAGAACAGATTTTCACAGGGAAAGCACCAGAACGGGGGGGGGGGGGGGGGGTGGTAGGGTGCAATGCCTGGAAAGAGTGAAGTGTAGGTAAGCACTCCGCTGGCAATAGCCACCAAAGTTCATAATAACTTGTTTGGTTTATAATTTGAACCTAAGTGATTCATAATGCTTGCCTTATACATGTTATTTGTCTGGAGAGAGTAGAGCAGAAGGGAAGGGAATGTGCCAGGTGATGGTATTTGGAAGAATCAGAGCAAGTTGCACTCTTGGTGATGTTTTGGATCTGATTTGGGTTTGTAAGTGGCTTAGAATAAACTGAACTATTTCTGACTTAAAACAACAACAACAACAGGGAAATAGATTTGCCACATTTAGTTGCCTACCAAACATCAGGGGAAGTAGTTGCCAATTACTAGATGCAACAGGGAGTTACAACCCATCACAGCTCCCATACAATTTACTGGTGTGTTGAACATAAGAAGCTGCCTCATACTGAGTCAGGCTATTGGTCCATCTAGCCAATATTTCCTATACTGACTGGCAGGGATTCATTGCAGTTTCAGACTGAAGTTTTTCCTGCCCTGCCTGGAGCCTTCCGCATGTAAACAGAAGCTGCACTGCGGATATATGGTCCTTCTTCAATAAGTTTACAAACACATGTCAGATAGGTTATATGTATCAATCATTTGAGGGGAGGAGGGAAGAAACTGCAATCTTATCTTACCTTTTTATCAGTATGCCTAAAAAGGCAATGTGTGAATTGATCCTTTGTGACAGGGATGGGGGAAATGCGGATCATCATCATCATTTACCTGTCTGTCATCAGTGGGTTACAACAAATTAAAAATTAGCATTAAAAACAGTTAAAACAAATTGCAGTCACATGAATGTGCAAGGGGAAGGTTTCCTGAAAACACACACCTCAAGTGTCGAAGGCAAGAGTAAGCAGGTGTGCATTCAGCATCTTCTAATTCAAAACCTACACAGTATTTCCAGTGCAATCATGCATATTTCCATCTTGCTATGCTTATGGAAAAGCCATTATCACTTTTTTTTAATCCCAGGCAGTAAAGCACATCATTATTTTACATACATAATCCTATCAAAGGCAGCCAGCTAGCTGCCAACTGAGCAATAATTCTGCCCGACTTCAGGGCCACTGAGTTGTATAAGGATTTCTAGATGCACAATGAGAGAGATAAGAGAGAGAGATTCTTACCTTGCTAACATTTTTTTCTGATCATATCTGTGTGAGAACTCAGGACTCCTTATTGTGAGACCAACAGAGGAGAAAATCCTAATGAAGTTTGCAGGAGGTTCTGTCTAATGCATAGACAGCAGAAGTGAACATGTGCTGGTGAGAATGCAAAGAGATATGAAGTGGAGAACTTTGTAGCAGCATCTGATTTCTTTTAGCGTTATGTATTTCAAAAGTTTCAGCTTCATCTCAACTGCAACTAGTTAGCAGGCTTTAAAAAAAAATCAATAAAATCTGTGTGTCTGCTATGCTGTTAAGAGGTTCAGAAAAGATTCTTTATGCTCACAAGGGCTGCCCCATTGATTACAACAAAGGAAACAGCCTGCATGGACATCTGATTAACATTCATTTAACATTTTCCTCAATTTGAATGAATAGAAAAGCATATAAATCTGTTTTTACATATGAATTCCCCCCCCCCACATTGCTAAAATTACTACCATGAATGGAATCATGTCATTGATTTCTTGCTGATGTTTTTATTGTGAAATCATTGAGATATTTTATGGGAAGTGATTAATAAAAAGAAGAAAATAAAACACATGCACAAAGCTCTAGAATACAATCAATTTTTCAAATGGATAGTAGAATTCCTCAAAATGCAGCATTAAAGTCTAGAAGTAGTCTAGGTTGGATCTCTCCCCCCCCCCCCCCGTTGATTTACCTGGTTGCAATCTTATGCAAATCTTATGCATGCACCACTTTTTAATAATTTCTCTTGAGTTTGTGTTCTCCCATTTTCCCTTATCAAAAATGCCCTATGCCTATTTTTTTCAATTTCAAGTTACTTCTCAAATAAAAATGTCTTGTCCAAAGGTAATGAATGGTTTGTATACCACAGGAGAATGCTGATCTCATCAAATGGCATTATGCTCTAAACTGTAACACTGAAGAATAGCTCATCAAGGAGCCAACTGTGAAAGGAAATTACATATTTTGATAGATCTGGAGCTACAAATTGGGTACATCAAATTAAAGGCATTTTAAAGGATAGATGTAGGTAAATAAAAGTTCTTATACACTGTGGTTGCAGTCAGACATTACTTGATACTGTTTTGCATTGGGAGACCAGAAATAATGAGATAAGACACAAAAATTGAGTAAATATATAACATAAGACCACAGTGAACTTATGCAACTGCATAGGGGGCAGGAAATTAAACCATTTGTGCTTTGAGACCCCAACCACCCCCCAAAAATGAAGACACAGTGATGCAGGATTTTAGTTTAAGTGATTGGGCAAAATTTAGGCCACGACTTTATTGAATACAGAATGTGAGTGATATTGGCTTAGGCATTGGAGTCATCCAAACTATATCAGACTCCCACCCACATCACACGGATTCTGATAAAAGTGTAAAACACTGCCAGAGGGAGCCCTGCCAATGCGAACCGACGAGCTCCCCCCAGTGCCCACGTGGGGTCCTGGTATGGCCCTAGCCCCTACCGTGGGGTTTCGGACAAGACTCAGGCCAACCCCTGATTCCTTTAACGGAATACCCTTGAGCTTGGAGGGGCAGGTGATGGCCACACCTCCCCTCCCCACACATTGCTGATCCAATGCCTAACCGCCTAACCTTACAAAGTTGCGGTGTTGCTACGTGCTCAGTGAAAACCAAATGGCTCTGCCAATCTGCCAGATGAAAAATTCCTACCAGGCCCCCATTGCAAAACAGGCGACCAACAACGTCCATAGCAAGGCCAACACACCAGATAAAGGGGGTGGGTGATCCGCTGCACAAAGGCAAAAAGGTCCAGCAAGCATTGCACAGGGATTAAATAATGTTTTGCAGCCACTCCCCAAGCCAAGCCATTGGCTTTAGGGACCATGAAACGACCAACCAGAGTGGAGCAGGGCATAGCCCTGCCCACACCAGGAGGTGGGAGATGCCTGGGGCCCCGAGCGCAACACATACCCTCTTGAAGAGGATCCGATATGTAGGATATGACCCCAAATTTTATCAGGTTTCTAAGCCTGGGAGATACTACCCTGCAGGGAGTAAAGTTGCCCCTCATGGTAGGGAGGGTGGTTTTCCTGAATCATGTTCCTTGGGACAGCAAAACACCAAGTGAGTCACACTAGTTAACCTCAAAAGTGATCCACGCTCTGCCCATGGGTTGCAGAGTTCAGTGTGCAAGATTGTGGCATTACTATTCACCTTAAATGTGCCAAGTTAACAAGGGCAATTAAACCAACCAATCTAATTACCCAACACAATAGTATGGAGTAGATGGGGGGGTGGGGGGGAATCCTTCTGCAGGCCAATCATAGAAAAGGACATACTTGGCTCCCTGCTACGTTTACTAGTTAAACCAGTTAATTTTGCCCTGTGTCAACCAGACATGTGTGGTATAAAAAGGTTATGGGACTTCAGTAGGAAGTTATAGGACCACTGCAGGAAGTCACAGTGTGACCGCCCCAAAACATTTGCAGGCACAAACATTACTGAAAGTTGGCTGGTGTGTGACTGCCCTAATGCCATCAAGAGTACAAATCTTCATTAATGTTCAATGAAAAATATGTCTGGAGCTGCTCACCCCATTTAATTGGTCTACAGGCCATAAACATCAAATACCATATAGGGTTATCAAAGACAACCGCAACAGAGAACAACAATATAGTTTCCCAGAAATTGTGCCTTTAGAAATAGAGAATAACAAAATCCAAAAACAATCCCAAATCATTTAAAAATGTAGACAACTTTGATTCAGAACTCATCTTCCCTTTAATAATAAACCATTTTGCTATGTTTTGATGACTACTTCAGCTATATTTTCTGTAATATTAGGGTTTACCATTTAAATGAAAACATAGAATAAGTCTGCATACTGTAGAGAAAATACTGGGGATATAAGAATATGCATACCAATATAAAATAATGAAGTTATAATCCTCTTAAAAAATACATGGGCTAACATTTCTACTGATGTGCTCTTGCAAGGACAAATACTCAAGTGTCCAGGCAACCAGGCAGACCAACCTTCAATGGCTGCAAAAGAGGATTCGACAAATTCATGGAGGAGAGCGCTATGCTCTGCCTCAACAGTTCGAGGAAGTCATGCTTCTGAATACCAGTTGCAGGAAACCACAAGAGGAGAGAGTGGTGCTTGAATCCTGCCTGTGGGTTTCCCACAGGCATCTGCTTAGCCAATGTGACAACAGCCATTGAAAAAGTTATCCCAACTGTCTCATGTTGATCTAGAGGTTCTGAAGGAGGCTTCAGAACACATTTAGCTAAACATGATTAAAAGCTTCCCAGAGCTTAGGAACCCTTTCCTATCAGGGAGAAAGAGACTTGTGTGGAGAATGCTTGTAGAATGGAGTTGTTCGGGGACCGCCCTACAGCTGTGGAGCTCTTTTACACCAACACAACCAGAACCTTAGTCTTAATTTACATGTTGAAACTTTTCTCTCACAAAACAAGTGAGAGAAAGGAAAGGAGAATGGAACCAGCCAGGAACTTTTTGCTGTCTGAAGCAAAGGACAAGATGGCACCCCCATTCCACATACCAAAGCTGACTAAAATGGCAGCTACTCCCAAACTGCCAATGATATAGCATCCTCCTTAGCACCTGAGGGACACAGGCTAGTTTAGAGAAGTAGTTTAGAGAGCTGTTCAAAGGACATAATGACAGCAACAGTCTAGTTTGGGGAAATGCAGTCCTCTTAGTATCTGGTGCCTGAAACAGATAGCTGACTCTACTTAATGGCAGGGCCAGCCCTGGAGAGGAAGTGGCAAATATACAGGGATGCCTAAGACAATGTCTAATCCCAGGAAGGTCCCCCTCATGTGATCTAGAGGTGTGGAAGTTTTTATTTTCGTACCTCCATTCATTCACATTCTTAAAAATCCATTTCTCTCTCCCCCGCCACATTTGTTATGTGCTTTAACTTTTTTTCCATTCATTTCTATTTCTCCCCATTTGGTTTCATTGGGACACCCAGCCAGTATTATGCTGCCAGAAACTCCAGAGTTCGCTTTCCAAATGACAGTTTTTAGAAGTCATTCTGCTACCTACCAAGGGAAAGATTTGCCAAATGTCCAGATAGATTGTGGAATGAGTTCTCATTTTACAAGCTATATAAAAAGGCACACATCCTATAAGCTTCCGTTTGATTTAAATGGGAGACCCAATTGCAGTTATTGTGCTTGTAATTTCTTTGTGTTCATTCAAATGATTTTTTTGAAACCAAGCATTCTTCTCCTCTTCCAAAGGATAAATTCTGCAACACACACACACACACAGAGAGAGAGAGAGAGAGAGAGAGAACAAAGGTACTCCATTCTAAAGACCCTATTTTGTATATGTCAAGTTCACTGCTCTCATCCATATGACCTCTCTGTGAACTGAGCTGGCAGTTCCAGATTATGTCTCCAATGCAAAGTGTTTAGAAATGAATGAGAAAGGATTGGGATTTTCATTGGCTTCTCATTCATTTTAATTCCCATTCATTTTCAGTATAAAAAATGAATGAAACCAACAACACTCATTCATTCACCCCCTCCCCAGGTTGCATTTCAAATGATTGGTTTGCAAGCCCCCTCCATAGAGGCTGGCCCCTCTCACTGTCCTCGGAGCTTGCTTACCGGTAACCTCCTCTGGCTGATATCTCGGACAGACCAGGGAGATTTTGATAGGCGACATTTTCCCAAGCGTGGGTAAAATGCACAACCCCTCCCTCCTGCTTCCGCAGGGGAAAGAAAATAAGTCAGAAATCTATTTACATGATGTTTATTTCTGACATTACAGCACTAGAGAAAAACACGTCCTTTCAGTTCAGTTCTTCTAGCACGTCTGACAAACTTCCTGAACATGCACAGTTGGAAGGTTTCAAGTTACACTCTTCACAAAGACTTATCCAGCCTGTGAACGTCCTGGGAAATTCTTCTTTCCCACAGATAGGCGCATCATGTGATGTCAACAATCTGGCTGTCTGCAGCGGTGATGTTTTCATATACTGACATGCACACCCTTAATGTGAACTCACTCTCCTCACATTTTGACGAAGATAAATTGTGTGAGTGGGGTTTCTGTAGGGTCAAACTGTCAGTGGGAAATCCCTGGCTATACTGCATTGCATACTTTGTAATCATTAACCAAGAATCAGTGGACTGAACATTAACATTGGTGCATTTATTCAAATTTCAACCAAGGGCCATCACCAAATATTAGGATTAAAATGCAAAAGATAGCAAAATAATTGTGGAATCCAGTCAGTAACATACAAAGGTTTTGTTTTCGTTTTTAATTTCTGTTGTCTTAAGTCTGAAATGCTCAACCACATAACCTAAAATGGCATTACTAGATCTTTTACAATTCAATTTTCAAAATTGGATTGTTCAAGTCACCCAAATATTTCAATGGGAAAAGTTGTGTTTCATCAAGGATCCTATTTAGATATGAGGGGAGCTATAGAAACATGAAGATAAAAGAACTTATTGTATGTAAAAGTGCTATATACTGTGTCATTAACTTAGGCTAAAAAGCAAGGTGAAAGAAAAAGTGGATTACGGTGAATGAGATAATAGGATTTCAGCTGTATCATAATTTTAAGTTATATTTCCACTCATTGTTCCTTAGATAAAACAGAAATGCTGCACTCGGGATTTGGGAAGGGTCAGCCAAATCTTTGTAACTGGTGAACCATGTTTTCTGGAATGTGTAAATGGTCTGCTCTCCCTGTGTGAGCCTGCTGTTGTCAGTCATTTTCGGACTGAGTGCTTTATAGCTTACTTAGCCTAACGTGGCTTTCCTGCCTATTAAAATGTCACATGGATAAAAGAGTGTACTGACAGCTCTGACAAGATTATCATTGCTGAGTAAAATCACATCCCTGGTACTTGTATGTTCTGAAAATCTATTTTGCTCTGTTTTTCAGTATTGAGTGAACGGAAATTATTCATCCAGACATTTTGTGTGTGTGTGTGTGTGTGTGTGTGTGTGTGTGTATAAATATTATTTATACTCCGCCCATCTGGCTGAGTTTCCCCAGCCACTCTGGGCGGCTCCCAATCAAGTGTTAAAAACAGTACAGCATTATATATATATAAATAATCTGAGAGAATAATTGGTTGGCTTGTTTTCAGTGGAGGCTGGACTATTAGGGCAAGTGGCGCACTGCCCAAACAACCTCTTTCTACCCTCAGCTTGCCCCCTCCCCTGGCTTCCTGGCTTCTTAATTGCAACAATTAACAGGGGTATCACTGTCTATCAGTTTTCCCCTTGGAAAACACAGCCAGGGGGAGGTTAGAGACACCACTAGAAGTACAGTGGTATCTCGGGTTAAGAACTTAATTCGTTCCAAAGGCCTATTCTTAACCTGAAACCGTTCTTAACCTGAGGTACTACTTTAGCTAATGGTGCCTCCCACTGCCGCCGCAACACGGCTGCATGATTTCTGTTCTCATCCTGAAGCAAAGTTCTTAACCCGAGGTACCATTTCTGGGTTAGCAGAGTCTGTAACCTGAAGTGTCTGTAACCCGAGGTACCACTGTAGTTGGCTCTGGCTCCACCTAGTGTTGGCCTCCTTGCTTTCTGCCCCAGCAACGTCAGTTGGGCACCAAGTTCTGGTGCTTGTTTTTATTCCCCCCTGCGATGTTAGGATAGCATTACCAATCTGGAATAAATAAAACAGTGTCCCAAATTATCTTTTATTTGTGGTGGCAAGTGATAGATGCTGTAGGTAAAGTTACAAGGATTTTGCTTCCTTTTACACCTATAAAAAGACTGGAAAAGCTTTTGGAGTTCGAAGAGACATCAGCTGCAACTAATACTGGCATTATTAGTGTGATTCTATTTCCAGGGGCCCCTTTGGATTTAAAATGCTTGCACGATTTCCGTTCCTGCAAAATCCTGATATATAGATTCTGAAATATCACCCCCTCAGAAACAAAACCTGCCGGTAGCTAATAAATCTTAACAATGTGCTTAGGATCAGCTGCAATAATCACTGAGGAGCATCTGAACAATCTGGGAGTGTACAGAATGTTTTATCCATATCTAACAAGTATCCTCTTGACTTGGGCTTAGCAATATTTGGGGCAGCATCTAGAAGATTATAATTTTATATTCGTTTATTCAAAGGAAGCCATGAGATCTCACTTTTGGTGATCGCCGTAAGACTCTGGTGACAATGTTCTAGTGCAGAAACAGGAACAGGAATGTTGCAGGTGCTTCATTTAGAACTGAAGTGTCTTGTGCCTGGAAAATAAATGAAATCATGCAAACAAACCATTTAATATCCCTCCACATTCTGGGAAGAAGGCATAGAAATGTATAAATTGGGTGGGGGTAACTTTTTCCCATAGGACTGGAGATCTGCAGATCGTGTTAACAGTTCTGTGTGACAGTTCTGTGTGACACCTTTAAGACTAGCTAATTCAGGCCCCAGTACCTAGCTGGGAGCTTCCCCATGGAGTTTAGTGGTGCTTTTTTTGAGTAATATATAGTTATTGCGACATTAAGCCACACTAAAAATTATGTCAGCAGGGACCCCTCCTAAACCAAGCTTAGATATTTTCCAGTTTAGTTAGTGACTAAGTACTTACACATCTGCAATGCTTTAGCATCCACACATTTGCAAGGAAGGAGGGGGGGAATAAAGCCAGAACTAATGTGATCTCATTGGTTCCTGCCCATGTGACCTTATTGGCCCCACCTCCTTGGCCACAGGCTGCTCCATCAGGCCCAAGGTCAACAATCAGCTAACAATGCATTCCAACTGCTCCTCTCCCCATGGATTGATTTCTACACAGATTTAACCTGAGCAGATCTATAGAGAAAAAGTAGTCCCTAAGGCTTTATGACTCAGGCATTCAAGATGAGAATATATTGCCCATTTCCATTTGCTGTTTTCATACTGACATGGTGTGGAAGTCAGAGAGGTAGAGTGACCCTTTGGTGTGTTGTGAAATGATTAATGCTTCTGTCCTTATTTGCTCTCCCTTTGAAATACACATTAGCCTGCCATTTACACCCATTTCCAATATAAATAATCAAAGCAAAAACACAGATTAGTCTGCCTCCATTGCACAAAGGGCCCGAGAGAATAATCAATTAAGGTTACATGTTACAAACACCTGCTCATTTGCAAACTGTCTTGCCACTTTCTAGTCATGTATAAGACTTGCAAGAGGAATTCAGTTTATTTCTGCTCTGTAGATTCTTGTGGGAAATCCTATGGCCAGCCTAACACAGGTTTATGTAGGTGTAGTCTTAACACCTACATAAACCTGTGTAATTTCCTTAGCTTGCATTTGATATAGAATGATATTACAAGACTACAGAAAATGGTTTTGGGTGCAAAATGATTAAAATATTGCACACATTAATAAAAATGTTATTTATTTAATTGAAATGTTTATATACTACCCTTCATTATCAACTTCCAGGGATGTTTCAAATTCTAGGGAGGGGTGGGGCTGGTATGCGAATGGAAGAAGATTCACTTGGACTAATGACTGAAGACTGTCTTTTCCCCTTCTTCCCCACATCCCCAGGTACTTTATTGTTGTGAGGGGTTTTTTTGGGGGGGTGGGTGGGAGAGAGAGAGGGGTGTTAGGCTGTATGCCTGCGTCCCTTCTAATCCATGGAACCAGCAAGGATTCAATTGCTAGAATAGCCAGGTCAGGTTTTGGGTAATGGCCCTTTATGCTGTGAGCTCCTCCACTGTAGGCTCAGGTTGTAAATATATGCAAATAAACCATATATCCTAAAGACACTACAGTCTCTGCTGTTCTTCATTTGGAGGAAACCAAACCCTGGGTAGGCACCTGGAACCCCTAGAATCTTGCACCGCTTGGAGATTGGGGTGGCATTTACAGTATTTTATTCTGTTTCAATCTTTTGCCTGGCAAGAGTGCAAGCCTTTGGCATAAGCCAACACAAAAGGGCTGTAGTCCTGTGGTTCTCAGCCTGGTTTGCTAGCCAGCAAGTCATCAGTGGAGCAAGAGATGAATCAGGCTAGGTTGCTGGTGGAAAAGGGGAGGTTAAATCAGACTGGCTACCAATGTGGGTTTATGGTGACCTTTATGGCCACCTTGACTGTGAGGCTGTTGTTTTGTCTGTTACCAGTGCTGATTGTTCCTTTATCAGGTGCTGAGGTTACACAGTACCATGACTGTTATTCTATAGATGGGAGTGAGTGGATGGAAGTACAGTATGATCATGTCTTGAGGTGGGATTATGTTCCAGGGACGAGCAGGTTTGTACAAAACCACATATACTCAAATTACCCCATTGGAACCATCTCTGGATGAAGCATCCTTGCATTTTTAGAGCCATGCGCTGAGCAGGCCTTGCCCCCAAACAAGGCAGAAAGGTTTTAAGCATGATGTGGAGAAATAAACAGTTTTCTTCTTCTCCCATAACACGACATCAGGGCCATATAATGAAGTAGAATGCTGAAAGTCTCAGGACAAACAAATTGAAGTACTTGTTCACACAGTGTGTGGTTAAACTATGGAAATTGCTTCCTCAAGAGGTGGAAGCTGAGAAAGGGCTGTTGCTCAGTGGTAGAGTATTTGCTTTTCTTGCAGGAAGTCTTTGGTTCAATTCCCAAAATCTCCAGGTAGGCTTGGGAGAGATTCCTGCCTGAAACCATGGAGAGACACTGCCAGTCAGTGTAGACTAGAGCTCTCCAAACTTCTCATGCTGTTGACACACTTTTTAGACATGCACCATTTTGCGACACAGTAATTTAGTTTTACTAGCAAACCAGAGGTTAAACTAACCCCTTTCCAGCCCCGGGGGAAGCGATTGCACAACACACCTACACACTGCAGCTGACACACCTAATGTGTCGTGACACACAATTTGGAAAGCTCTGGTGTAGACAATACTGACATAGAGGGAAGCAAGGGTCTGTCTTAGTGTAAGGCAGCTTCCTAAGTTCTCCCTTTGTGGTAACGGCTATCAATGTGGATGACTTTAAAAAAGGATTAGACAAATTAATGGAGGGGAAGGCTATAGGTGGCCTGTAGCCATGATGGCAATGTTCAATGGCCACTGTATGAATGCTAATTTCTGGGAATCTCAAGTGGGGAGAGTGCTGCTTCAATCAGATCCTGATTGCAGGCTTCCTATAGGCTGGCCACATTGAAAACAGAATGCTGGACTAGATGGACTATTGTCTTGATCCAGCAGGGCTCTTCTTGTGGTCCACACTTCCTTGGAATGTCCAAAGCAGCTCTCAGGAGGCCGTCCCAGGCTCTGTTCACATTCCCATTTACTGTGCAATTACTGTGTTTTCAGGGCTGAGTTTCTAATCAGCATTCAGACGATATCCAGAATGCATATGTACCCTGTATTTTGTTATGCAATCTGTTTGATGTGTTGTTTCTCAAATCAGTTTCACACTGGCTGGAGTCCTTAAACCATTCCTAATTCATCTCTAGCCAAGGTGTTGAAACCTTTACCTAGGGTAAATAGATCCCTGCCCAATCAGTACCCCCTGCAGCCCGTGTGCACACAAACAGAAATGAATATGACACTAATGAAGTTGTGCTGATGTGAATCGCTGAGGGGAAACAGCCACGAAGCACACCAAAAATAGTAAGAATAATTCCACTGTGCTCTAAGGTAGTATTGTGAACGCATGCTTATATTCCATTTAACACCTTAAAAAGTCTATTGTTGGCACCAAATAAACAATTTTCTGTTTCTTACAATAAACTCTTGAGTTTGTCCTCGTGTTATTTTGGCCCTTAACAGGACGAAGCATAGTTGCTGTAAGTTAAAATCCTGTTTAATGAATAAAATTGCTGCTTTTGATACAACTGCTTTGAAAAGAGAGAGAGAGAGGCCCTAAGCAAAATGAAATCTCCTTTGCTTTCAAGTCAATTCCTGTCTGTGGGTTTTTGCCATTGTTTGCATCTTGTAAAAGAGTACACATTACACAAATTGCCTCTGGCTATTGTTGTCTGAAACATTTTATAGCTCTTAACACTGACAGTGTGCTGCCAAAAGATCCTCTAGCTGCTTACTCTAGAGTGAAATATAACCTGGAAATATGTGCAGAGTGTACAAGTCCTTGAGAAATCCGTAATTATGCATTCTTGGACATTTTGTTACTTGAGGACATTTTTACTATCCACCCTTCTCTACTTATTTTGTGTGTTTTTATAGCAGCAAAGTTCAAGAAACTGTGGAGAAAGGAGTGTCAGCACTTTTTGTTGCTAACTTGGATTTTAGAGTTTGTAACCTAGCTTGCAAAGAGAGAGAGAAAAAAATAAAAGCTTCTTTCTGGGCTGAATCTTAGCTTGGTGCATTTCAAACTGAGTAATATTTTATTCTAATTAAAACAAATATATATAGAGGGGGGGGGGAGAGAGAGTCAGTGTGGTTATTTTTAGGACAAACAAAAAGAACAGAATGAGTATTTGGATGTTTCAAAAAGTTCAGTTTCATTCCATTGGGTATTTTTGATGATTCTTTAAAATCATTTGTTTTGCTTAGTTTGCCAAGTATAAGGATAAGAAAGTTGTAAAGAAAATGTCAAACAGGTCACTCATATGGTCGTGTGTCAGTGAGCTTCAAAAGGTTTTACAAATAAAAATAAAAATCCTAACTATGAAGTTATAAAACAAAAAGCACAGATTCTACCCGCAGCCAAAACAACAAACAACTTTCATTGAAACTTTAAAAAACCAAAAAGTTTTCATCTTCTTTCTCATGTGGTTCTTAATTTTTTCTCAGGGTGTCAGGAATTTGATAAATCAGCAGCAAATTGATGGTTTTATAGTACAAGCTTATACATGTCTACTCAAAAATAAATTCCTTGAGTCCTAGGTGGGGATAGGAAAATCTTTCAATCTTAGTTTCTCTCATTTTTTTCTAGTCTTCAGTTCAATTCTCGGGATTTCTACATATATTTGCACTTTTCAAAACAAAGTCATCATCAAAATTTATCAGTATTCTAGTACAAATTTATTGGAATACACACATCACTGTATGGAATTGTGCCTAATATACACATCTTTAGTTAACAATGTCCTCTTATGTAGTGCATTTTGAATGCTATTCATTAACAATTGCATTTTAATATAATTTGCTCTAATTTTTATACTTAGCTACATTGCAAAATTCAGAGAAGTCCACATTTTAAAGTATAGCTGTGTTGCAGTTTACGTATTGTTTTGGAAAGTGGACTGAATTTCCTATCCCCATCCTGTATTTATAAAATTCAGTGTGGTTTCTTTCTTCTGCAGTTCATCATCCACCCAAAATACCCTATTTGTTTCACTAAATGCAATCTTAATGACATAAATTATATTGCCATTACATCATTCCACCCCATTCTTTTCAATGCAAAGAATATGCAATGCAAATGGGGGGGGGGGATGACATAATAAATTACAGTACATATCATTTGCAGTCTGAAAGCAGCAGCAGCTATCCTTCCCCACCTTTCCTACCCTGATCTGGCCACAGTGATCCATGCGACGGTCACCTCCAGTCTTATGGCTGCTACTTTATACAAGGGGGGGGGGGGAATGTGCACTGTGGCACAATGTTGTATTTACTTGGACCTTAGGAAGTGTGTTGGTTTTCTTCAACCATCCCTGAACTACAGCTTATGAGCAGCCTTGTGAGAAGGGAAGGGCCATGGCTTAGCAATACAGCATCTGCTTTGCATGCTGAAGGTTCCAAGTTCAATCCCTGGCTGCCAGTCAGAAAAGACAATGCTGAGCTGGAAGGGCCAATGGTTTGATTTGATATAAGGCAGCTGCTTCTTTTCCTAATTTTGTTGGGCAGAAGATAACAACCCAATGTGCCTTGATATGGCTGATGCTGCTGTTAGCACTTGCTTTGACTGAGAAAGAAGTTCAATGAGATGGTGGTGGTGCACCATCTTTGTTTCATATTTTCCCAAGTTCACTTAATCAATTAATTTCAGAGAATCAAAGAACTGTAGAGTTGGAAGGGATCCCAAGGGCCATCTAGTCCAACCCCCTGCAAAGCAGGATTTTTCAACTGAATCAGCAGTGCTGAAAAGCAAAAAAATAATAATCACATTTGTTCCTTTGTTAGGAATTACAAGTGTTTCGTTTGATTATATTTTCTTTGGGTTTGTAAAAATTATCTTTATTCTACTGTAGATGAAAATAATAAAAGTAATTGTGGATTAGTCTTATTTTTAAATGCAGAAAGGGAGCATACATTTAATGAACAGAGCTGCTTAGTCATTTTGAAATTGATTTCAAAGTTATGGAGGTCAAGGGGATAGATGGGAAAAAGGATAAATATTACATATATTCATTCTGGCCAAAAAAGCTTTTTATTACACAAAAGCCCAGCAGTTCATAATGAAGTCAAACAATACCAATGACAGAAGAGAATTGAGTTCAGAGAGTGAATGCTTGTTTCACAGAATCAGAGAATTGTAGAGATGGAAGGGACCCTGAGAGCATCATCCAGTCCAACCCACTGCAATGCAAACCTACAACTTTTGGCATTGTCAGCACCATGTTGTAACCAGCTGAGATATCCAGTTGGTTTGGGAACATGTTGTTTTTCTTTTGCCATTCTAATACAGAATACAAGTTGATTTGCTTATGTATGTTTGTCTGTTAGAGAGGAGAGGCATGTGACTGGAGCTTTCTTGGTAGAGCAGAAGACATAGAGACCAACACTTGTTTTCACTGTATTATAAATCACTTTGAGATAGAGAAAAGCCATAGCTTAGTGGGACAGCATCTGCTCTGTACACAAAAGTTCCTTGTTTCTTTCTTTTTTTTCAACCCCCCCCCCCAACAATTTATTAGTGCTTTTCAAAATACAATAAGAGATAATAGAAAGAGAAGAAAGAGAAGAAAGAAAGGTAACAAGAAAAGAAATAGGTAAAAAGGACTTCCAACTTTCCAGCTGTCAGTTATATATGCAATAATTTTTCAAAACAGTCAAATGTTCAATCTAGATTAATATTCTGCTAGGTGATATTTTCCCAGTCTTCAGTCAAGGACTTTCCAGTTCATTCCTTTCTTTTGATGCAAGGTAATTCTCCAATTGTTGTTAAATATAATAGACAACAATAGCTTTCTTCCAGTCCAACATCACAACATTACCTCCCATGTTAGGTCCTGCTTTCAATCCCTGGCACCTCCAGGTAGGGTTGCATGAGACCTTTGTCTGAAACCCTGGAAAGCCACTGCCAGTCTGGTAGACAATAGTAAGCAAGAAGAACCAATGTCGTGACCCAGTATAAGGCAATTTCATATGTCCCTATGCCTCATAGAAAGCGATTCATAAATAAAATAAATAACAACAACATTTCTAATGTTGGTGGGCTTCCTATAGGGCTGGGAGAGAATCCTGCCTGAACTCCTGGGGAGTTCAGTATAGGCAATGCTGAGCTAGATTGGCCAATGGTCTGATTTGCTTTAAAACAGCTTCCTGTGCTCCTAATGTGAGAGCAGAATGTGTAGGAGTGTAACCTGTGTTACTCTGTGGTAGTTTGGTCACCTCTCTGCAGGCTCGTATTCTGTTTTAAATGAGACTCGTTGGGTATTCCGTGATGTTCAGGCAGCTATCTGTATTCATGCGGCACACAAAGCAAAATAACCATTTGAAACATTTAGCTTGTGCACTCTGGGAACAAAATATAATTTATTCTAGTCTTTTCATTGTCACATTCTAATCATTACGTTGATGAGAGTGGTAGCTTTGAAGAAGAAAAGAAATATCGAATGAGACACCATAAAGTTCTCTCATGCAATTATTACAGGTACAATTGGCCAGAGTTACAAAGGTCTCCAGATGACTGACTGTTCATAAACCAATGCCCTTTAATTCCCTTTTTATAGTTAATGGAATACGTCATTTAATAATTTTAAAAATAATTTATTGACGTTAAATTGCTTTTCTCCCCCCCTTTCCAATCTTATCATTCTTATTTTTTCTAAATGAAAATCTCATTTGTTTGCTATGCCATTTGAACATAAATTTCAGAATGTAATGGAGTGAAAATGGAAGACCGTTGGCATCAATGAAGTTATTAATTTGGTAACCAAAAGATTCGTTTGCCTGATTTAGACAGATTTCTTCTGCAGCGAAGTTTATCTCTGGACTTAATTAAACAATAAGACACCACATAAATAAGGGTTCTGCATCAAAATCTCCTACATAAATTGGAAAGGACATCTTCATTATTGATATGGAGATTAATCTGCAAATCATTTACTTTTAATAATTCTAGCTAACAACTAAAAGGGTTTGCACCCTCAAAAGGCCAAACATCAAACCTTAAGAGGTTGTTGTGGCCAGAATTTAACTGATATAAGCAGGCAGTACATTCTATCAATTGCCTTGCCTCCAGGTTTAAATATAAATAAATAAATAAGTTCCCGAAATACAAAACATCAGTACACAGATCCACGAAGGTATTTCCCTCCGCCCCAAAGCCAAATAAGGATTTATTGAAGCACATTGCTCCAAAGGTGAAAGTGTGTCGATGATGAGGGGCAAATCTGAATATGTTTGTCCATATGTGTTATAAAAAGGTACCAGTAAAGTTGTCATCTGATAGTTGTCTTTTGATGTTTTCACCTGTTTTGTGAATTTTTCCATGCATGCAATTTTCCATTCTTTTTGTCTCCAGTTATGAATTTGCAAATTGTCTAACTTTTTCCAGTTTTGAGCTGGGTCCAAAAGAAAAATAACTAGCTCTTTATGTTGGAAGTCCTTCTGTTTTCCATGAAAAATGATTTAAAAAGCAACCTGTGGGGTACCTTGTATTGTTTGTAGAGTTACGGAGCTGATTATGTGAAAAGCATTATTCCAGTCAGGCTTGTTAAGTCAAATGCCCATAAATGTGAAGCATAGTACCAATGCAGTCAAAACCCTTCTAACATTGGAGTCAAACTCGTAGCTTAAATCTGTTACTGTGTGAGGTTAAGTATTTTTTAACATAGACTTACCCTATTTTAGATTAAGTTTTCATCAGTTAGGGGAAAGTAAGGTTAAAGAGTGGGTTTAAGAGAAAGAGTATGTTTCGACAGGAGAGAGGAGAAGAAACATCGTAAAAAGGATGAGCATATGTTATCCACAAGAAGGACAAGAGCACTCTTGCCTCCCATGGTTTTCAGCAACTGATATTCGGAGGCCTACCAACTCCAACAGCTGAGGTAGAACACAGCCATTGTGACTAGTTGCTGTTGATAGCTTTATCCTTCATGAATCTGTCAAATCATCTTGCAAAGCCATCAAAGTTTGTGGCCGTCACTATGAATTACATAGTTTAACTATGTACTGTGTGGAAAAAGTGCTTTCTTTGGTCGGTCCTGAATCTTCCAACATTCTGCTTCGTTGGATGACCCCATGCTTTAGCATGACAAAAGAGAGGCAGAAAAACTTTTCTCTGGCTTCTTTCTGCATACCATGCAGAATTTTATATACCTCTATCATGTCTCCACTGATTGCCTTTCTCTAAACTGAAAAAAGTCCCAAATGGTGTAACCTACTAGTGAGGAGACAATGCACCAAGTCAATCACTGGCCAGCAAAGACAGCAATGAGCACACACAGGTATACTGCTCAGTATATACATTTTAAGGGGAAATTTTCTGCATATGAAATGCGCTATAGGATTTGAATTCCCTCCACCTCTTTGATTTTCTTCTCCTCGTAAAAACTTGGAATAAATAATTACTTTACTGAAAGCATTACAAAGCCAGTATGTTAAAACAGAACACGTCGAATCCCCCATCAGCCTTTGATTTGACATAGCATTAAAAATGGATGAAAAGAAAAATAAATAATAAATGCCATTGTGCCATTGTTGTGATTCATATATCCCTTCCTCCCCCCCTCCTCCCACCTCCAACCCCAGTGATAGGCAAGGGCAGCCAAATGCTCTTGTTGGAAAAGTACAAGACACAATGCACATCCTTCTCCATTTATGATTAGTGGATCCCTTTCATTTTTCTTTTCTCTGCTCTTGCTCTGCTTTGCATTCCACCGTTCATGAATGCTGGTGTTAACTAGAAGAATTTCCCAAAAATCATTTCCAGATTAAAGCCTATGCAGCTTTCGTTTTGCTGCAGCTTTACATCTGTAAGTGTTTAGTGGCTGCTGTCATATGTGTGTGGCTACCTCACCTGGCAAGCCACTGAAGTGAAGGTGACAGCCTTGTTAGGGAAGAATGTTCCAGACTGACTCTGCCCATCTAACCTGACAACTGGATCCTTCTGGGTAGGAAGGGGAAGGAAAGACTTGCTTTTGCATTTGAGCTTTCCTTGAGCACTTTGGTCTTCTTGAGCATTGGTGTATACATGTGTTTTGCTTTCATTCTGACAGTTCTCCTGTCCTGACTTGCTCTTTGGTCCTGACATGGCTTGCTTGCTTTTCAACCCAGCTGGCTGGTTTGTTCTGTAGTCTGGCTTGCTCCGTGGCTTCTGATCCCTGACTTGAGGCTCACCTGAGATTGCTGCTCATAGCCCAGCCCTGACATTATTTGAATATGGCCTCATTTATTCAGGCAGCAAATATGTAGCCAGTGTGGGTTGTGTTTGGCATGTACAGCATTGGCCAAATTGCACTATTAACCACAACCCCACAACTCTCTTGTGCATTGGGCAATTACATGAAGATAGCAATATAAATACCACTAAAGTAGTGGCGAGGAACACTTTTCAGCCTGAAGGTCATATTTTCTCTTGGCAACTTTCTATAGACCACATGTCAGGGATGAGTGTGGCCAGAGGCTAAAGCAGGTGGAGCAGCAAATCTAAATTTTACCCTTGTCCAGTAGCCTAGTTTCTACAGATGCTCATACCACTCTCTATCCTCCATCCAGGCAAACATGAGGTAGTACAAGATTTCAAAATGCATGGAAATTGTAAAGCAGGGATGGTGAGGCATGTGGCCTAGGGAGAGTCCCATGGCCAAACTGAGAGCTCTGAGGAGGGGGCACATACCTAAGGCTCTCGACCTCTGCTGTAGCATCACTACCTATCTGCCAATTATCTTGGTCACTATCATGGTCCAAAGAATGTCACCATCAAGGTCAAGTCCCCACTTCAAACAGCCAATAAGAGGAGGGGGAAAAAGAAACTGCCACCTTTCCCCCCCAAGACTAGTTGAAATGAAGCCACTGAACATAGACGTAAGGTGCAAAGTGCTTCTGCACTGATGTCTGGATTTTGCTCTGAGCCTGGATGAGCATACCATCCATTATTCAATACCCAGCTAGATGAGTGGATTTACTTTCATTTTAAATCCAAAGTACTCTGCAGCTCACAAAAGCTGTACTTGCTCATATGCAAATCCAGACCATTTAAAGTACTGTGCTACTTTCCCCCTAGAGACACGCATGCCTTAAAAGCAGAGAGGGAGAGAGAATAAACACTTAAGAGAAATAAAATAAATTTGTATCCATTAAAAAGCCATAACAGTCCTCTTCAAATGCGGGGGGGGGGGGGGAGAAGGCTCAGAAATTCTTTGATACCAAAGATCAACCAAGATGAAGTCATTAAAAGTGGGGTCGCCCCCCAAGTTTCTGTACATACTTGAAGTCATGTAACAGCTCTCACAGACAATCACCCAAGTTATTTTTCATGCATTATTTACCAGCATTGTGCATCTTCTAGCTCAGTGGTAGTTTAGATGTGGTGTTGAGTAGATTTCCCACCTTTCGCTGCTTTATTACAGGTGATCTTTGCAGCTGCTGAAATGTGGGGCCATGCAAGCGTACTTCCATAGTTTAACTATGTGCTGCCTTTTATCTGTCCTGAATCTTCCAACATTAAGCTGCATTGGATGTCCATGCATTCTAGTGTCAAAGAGAGAGGGAGACAAACTTTTCACCATCCAGTTTCTCCATGTCATGCATAATTTTATAAACTTTCATCATGTCACCTCTTACATGCCTTTTCTCTAAGCTGTAAGTCTCAAACTCTGCAACCTTTCCTCATAGCAGAGTCACTCCATCCCCATGGTCATTTTGGTTGCCACTTTCTTAACGTTTTCGAATTCGACAATGTCCTTTTTGAGGTGGGGTGACCAGACCTGTACACAATATTCTAAATGAAGTCACACTATAGATTTGTTTAATGGCATTATGATATCGGTGGCTTTAGTTTTAATTCCTTACCTAGTGATTTCAAGCACGAAATTTGCATTTTTCACAGCTGACACACACTTCATCAAGCTATCTATCATCACCTCAAGATGTTGTTCCTGAGTCAGTCCCTGCTAGTTCATACCCCATGAATGTATATGTGAAATTCAGATTGTTCTCTTTTTGAGATGATTTGCACCACTTTACGTTTGTTTACACTGAATTGCGTTCGTCATTGTACTTTGGAGAGATTCTTCACAATCTCTTTTTGTTTTAATAACCCTGAACAATTTAGTATTGTTGACCGTATTCTTGCTTAACTTTTAGTCCACAAAATTACAGAGATGCTTCTAAATATATGCAGGTTCTTGTTAGCTTTCCACAGTCAGCTACAATCTAGTAAGCAATTCAAAGTCTACATCGTCCAGCAAGGTTGCCTTTAAAGTAATTGATGAATCTCATAAAAAGCATTCAAGTAACAGTTTCAGACAAACATGAGCTAAGATTACACTCTGAATTCCCCAGGGTGCCATCTGTAAAAGCATCAATGATTTTGACCTTTTGGGTAGATTTGTCTTTTTAAAAAGATATATAATTATTATGCACATCAATAATAGGGAAGAGAGCAAGGAAATAGAACTTCTTAGATATTCACATTTGAAACTCTGCCAAGACTGTATATTCAGCTGGCTCAGTCTTGTCAGTCCATAATTCAAGAAAATGTTGAAGAAAAAAACTCAGATATGGGGCAGAAAGCTATATGGAAAATTCTCTACCCAAACACTAGGTGTAGACACTCACACCTGGCTTCAGATGGATTGGCGTTCTGGCAAGAAAGATTGATTTTCTATGGGAGACTACAGGATGCACACCCACATGTGAAAGTCCCTTGAGCAGAGCTTCCCTAGCACCTAAACGTCAGCTGGTGGTTGTGCTCTTGGAAAGTACAGTGCAAGGGACTCTGGCAACCCTATACTTTGGGCTTGGGCAGTGCCGAGCACCAAGCTTGCAAAAGAGTTTGTGCTGTGCTTTCCAAATGACTGAAAGCCAACTGGGTCCTGGGCTTTGCTAAAGTTGGCCAGTGGGCCAGAGGCTTCCTGATCCTGCCATAAAGATCAAAGCCAGCAGGTAGATTACAAATCTAATGGGAGCTCATGGAGCTGTTTCAAGACTGGAGTGATCTGCTTAAGGATGGGAGAACCTGCCTATTTCTGGTTTCTGTCACTTTGTCATATATTTACCTAGAACTCCATTTCCACATTAATCTGTGCAGTGGCACTATTAGGTCTGGAATACAGAAAACACAATAGTCCAGGAATTGTGGATTAGGGCAGTTGGTACTATGGTACCTCGGGTTACATACGCTTCAGGTTACATACGCTTCAGGTTACAGACTCTGCTAACCCAGAAATATTACTTCGGGTTAAGAACTTTGCTTCAGGATGAGAACAGAAATCGTGCTCCCGTGGTGCGGCGGCAGCAGGAGGCCCCATTAGCTAAAGTGGTGCTTCAGGTTAAGAACAGTTTCAGGTTAAGAACGGACCTCCGGAACGAATTAAGTACTTAACCTGAGGTACTACTGTATTGGAAATCACACGCACGCACACATACACAAAACCACATACAGCATCCCTAAATATGCTTTGGGGAGAGAAAAAAATGGGCGGCCACACTATTACATTCAACCTAAATTAGGAATGTTGATGTGATGAGACAGTAAGTCAAAGTGGCTATGGCTTCCTCAATTAAACAAGTCACATCTGTTCTTCACTTCCCCAAACATATGTTGCTTATGAAACATGAGGTACCCAAGTCACTCTGCATTGTTCTTCCATCTGTAAGCCTTATTCTGTTGGTCCTGATGATGGATTTAACAAAGGGCACTTTTGCACATTAATCAGAATTTTTACCAATTGAACACTCCTTTTCAGTAGAAATGAAAGTGGCTTTACAGATAAATGATTGCCAAGAATATTAGGATCACTTAGATCTTAGTACTTAGAGTACTTTGTGACAATTGTGTGCACTGTCCTGTCAACAGTGAATGTATACTGAGAGGTGCCAGACATGATGTGCTTTGCAGTAAAGATAAGGGCTTTTCAATATGATAGAGCATGTATTTTTCTCATTTGAATGACAGGATTTTTCTTCTGCAGTTATCTGCCAATGTACGTTCAAAATGGCCCATGAATCATTCCATGGTCACCCAAATTATTCTAATCCACGTTGCAATGAAGTGTTGTCTAAACCTGCTAGATTATGTTTGTACATAGTCATGACACATTACACATTTCAAACATGGCACATTGTTATTGGATTTATAGAATGGTGCATGTTCTCTCTGTTGCTTGCTGAGAGTCATTTCCTTTTGGAAGAGGAAATACAAACAAGAATGAACCAACATGGTCATCACTGAAATCTACTCTCTCTCATCTCACAAGATGATTAAAAGCACAATAGTCCTGCTGGATAAGAGCAAAGATCTATCTAGTCCCTACTTTCCATATGCCTCTGAGAGACCATGGTCCGTTCATGACAAAGGGGTGAGGGCAATTTCTCCCACTACTGACTCACTCCCAAACTACTCTGTAACAAAAACCAGATCAAACTTACGACACGTCAGGAATGTTGGGTCCATGATGTACTGAAATGGACACATGATAGTCATGGCATGGCAGCCATGAAATCCAGAGTTGACCTAGAAGAGCATGCATGCTGTGAAAGCTGAAATCCCATAATACCAATGGCTGAGGTCACTCAAACACCACCCCAGAGATCACTTCTGCCAGCACAGCCAGGGAATAATTTTACCTGCAGTGAGTGTGGCACAGCAGCAAAGTTCTTGTTATGTTTCTCTGACTCAAAGAACACCAAGAACAGAGTCTTGAAATTGGCTCCCAAATGTATTTGTTTCTTAGACAAAGAAATGGAATTCCCATGGTAAACTGTGAATAACAATTAACATTTCTCCTGGCCCTCCAACTTAGATCCATCCTAGGTGGGCAGAGATGGGTCAGATCAGGTCTCCACTGAAACCAGAAGAGTTGGTACAGTCAGGTCTCTGACATGCCAGATAACTTTCTGAAGAGATTTGTTGTCTTGAACATGGTACTACAGTCTCTTAGAAGACACTCCTGAATAGGCAAATTCAGTTGATCACCCAACATACAATTATCCTGATTGTAATAGTGACTTGTATTTCAGTTTTCTGTCATATTGGAGGCAGTTTGCCCCTGAAAGGCAGGTGCTGGGAATCACAAGCAGAGAGAGAGCATGGTTGCACTGTTACAACCTTTCTGTAGGTATCTGGTTGGCCTCTGTGAGGACAGGATGCTGAACTTGATGGGCCTTTGGCCTGATTCAGCAAAGCGGCTAGATGAAACAAGTGCAAATTTGATCCATGACATGAGAAAAATCACTAGTCATCCCTCACCCCAACACCACACCTCTCTCTGGCAGAGAAAATGAGTCCTATGTGGAAAGTAACTGTTGTCTGCCAAATTGGTGATGAGTCACTGAGGAGAAGTTGACCAATTAATACAGGTCACACAGTACGATTGCTTTATGCATTGCCATACCTGACACTCAGAATTGAATCTATGAGGTGCCTTGGCAGGCTATCTGGTAAAGCAGCCAAACAGGAACCTATCCTCCAGGGATGCCAGCAGGTGCTAAGTGTATGTTAAGCTTCTCTCAGCTGGAAACTCGCTCTTTCAAGGTTAAAAATGATTGTCATGCATATCCAATATATATGGCTGAGCTGTTCGACTAGAAGCACTGGAGGAATAAAGATTGCTTTTATCCATTTGGGTACATCATGAATAGTGAAATGAGCTTGCCTCTCTCTTTCAAGGAAGGAAAAGATCTATCTAGAGCAATTAGACTCTATTGACAGCAGCTTTTGCAGAGGCAAGAGAGTTGCAGGACTTATTTCCACAGTAGTCACATTGCTGAATTGGTAAACTGTACCCAGGTCTTCTTGCCTTAAATTCCCTGTTAGTTAGGGAGGCTGAGAAATGGTGACTTGATGCAGGGGAGAGGAACCTCAAAAAACCCAGGGATTGTATGTGGCTATCCAGACCTCTCCATTCTGCCCATGCTTCCTCTCAGACCACACTCCTCACTGCCTCTGCTACATGCCCTTTTGCCTGGCTAGAATTTGCCCTTGTTTGCCTGGAGGGAGGTGTGCTTGTGTAGAGACCTCTGATGTTTTGCATAATTCGAATGTTGACTGCTCTATAAAGGTATGTGTTGTCCTACCTACTCTTACCTTTGGCCATCCCCACCATTGACATGTGGCCTTCAGAAAGTCACACACAGAAGAATGCCTCCCTTGGGCTGAAAGTGGTTCCCCATCCACTGCTTGCCTTATTTTTTATTATTTTGTTGCTCACTATAAAAGTGTCTCAAAGTCACTTTACAGTTACCAGGAGTGCCTTCCAGCACCAACTACTTTGCTAACTATGGATAGGGAGGAAAACCCTGGCTACACCAGGGATGGTCAGGGCCAGGGATGGCCAGCCTGGCACAGGGGGAAACCAAATATCCAATCAGATAGGATCCTGATAGTCTCAGGTTTACAGGAAGGCAAAATCTAGCACCTTCCCTTCTTGCTAGATGGTATTAATCCAGGACACCACTGTCCGGTGCATTTATGCAAAGCTCAGACTTTGTGTTTCAACTGCCTCACTATTAAAGAGGCACAGGGGTCTTGGCAAACGTATTATCAGAAGGGCATACCCTCCAACTGCCCTGAATTTTCCAGGACTGCCATGAAAACAATTAAGCTATCACAGCTTCTTCCTTTGCCATGAGGAGTCTCAATTTAAACTGCTCTTAAAGGGGCTTGCAGCTAGCTTGCAGCTTTAGCAAAGATGCCATTTTGACCCCTTTAAGAGTGGGGAGGCACCATTCACTGCTCACTTTGTTTGGCTAAATGCCTTCCCATTGTGATAACTGCACCAACTTCTCCCCCCACACCTTTTCCCAGCCCCTCTTTCCCCTCTTTCCTTTGCTCCCCACCCTACCCCATCACCAATTCTGATCCTCTTTCTCCCTTTTCAAAAAAATGTCCTTATCCTGTCTCCCCCACCACTTCCATTTCTTCCTCCCTTGGGTTGCCTCCTACCTTTTCTCTTCACCCAAGGCTCCTTTTCTCCCCAGTTTCTCCTTTCTTTCTCTTTCTCCCCCCCCCCCCTTTTCCTTCCTTCCTGTTCTCATTTCCCCAGTCCTCCTTCCTTTTCTTCTTCACCCACTTCCCATTTCTTTTCTCCCCATTTCTGTATTCTTCTCCTCTCCCATTTCCCCTTTCTTTATTCCTCTCTTCTTCCTTTTCCTCTTCCCATCATCTTCACTTTCACTCTCTCTTCCTCCCATTCTCCCTTTCCTGTTTTTTCTTTCTTATCTTTCTCAACTTCCCCTTTTCTCCTTCCTTTGTTCTTTCCCTCCTTTCCTGATTTTCTCTTCCTTTATTAATTACAGTAACTGTTTTCTGTTAAATTGCATTTCATAGGCAAGACAAAATATATCACTATCTATCTATAGTTAAAGAGTTAATTGGGAGATGTTATACATTTCCTAATGAGCACAGAGGCTGTAACCCTATGCACACTTCCGCATGAGCAAAGGCCCTGGAATGCAACTGAGACATCCTAAAACAAGGCTCAGAGACTACGAGGGCCAACCCAGAAGCTTCACTCTTTTGGAGCTTGGGGCGTCTGCAGCTTGCTCCAAGGTAACTGGGTGAAGACTGTGCAGTCTTACTCTGCAGTCCTAAGCATTTTTACTCAGAAGTCCCATTGAGTTCAATAGGATTTACTCTCTAGTAAGTTCCTGATCTGGGAAGCAGGTGGCGCTGTGGTCACCTGCGACTGGACTTAACAGTCAGGGGTCCCTTTACCTTTACTAAGTTCCTGATCACTCTCACAGTTTCTGTTGTTGTCATTGTTATTCCCCACATTTTTTCCTTGACAGGGACTCAAGGCAGCTTATAGCTAAAACTCTCCACCCCATTTCATTTATCTGTTGAAGATGTTGTACATAATCCCTTCCATTACACATTCTTTTCTTCATAACAATCCTGTGAGGTAGGTTAGGCTGAGAGGTTGTAATAGGCTCAAGGCGACAGATGTATATGTCTATATGACGTACTGTATATGTATGCAGTACAATCAAATGTGGAAGAAGCTTCCTGACGTAGAATAGTATGTCCCTATTTTCATTTGAGGAACACTGGAGGGTATGAAAGGGTCTTGATGATGAACATTTTGGATTCTGAGCTGGGATAACTCAGTCGTTATAGCATGAGACTAAATCTCAGGGTTGTATGTGCGAGCCCAATGTTGGGCAAAAGATTCCTGCATTGCAGGGGGTTGGACTAGATGATACTCATGGTCCCTTCAGTCTTTACAATTCTATGATTCTATGATAATGTTGGGAACTGGGCAAGCAAATGTTATCCCACTTCCTCTTCCATGCATTGATTGTTTCCATATTTTAGTTGCCTGCACAGACCTTTTGAAAAATCACTTAGAAACAAAACAAGGGGTAAGACTAGCTCAGCAGCGCCATAAAAGAAGATCCCCACAATTCATTTCTTATGCTTGCATGCATGGAGGTGTGGGGAATAGTTTTTCATGCCAAAATATTCAACTTGGGTTAGCTTCATTAAAGTGAAATGAGATCCATTTCATTAAAGTGACAGGCTGAAACGAATCCAATCTTTCTTGATACAGTGTTTTATAGACTAAAGTGTCGGATATCTCTGAACATTTTTTTTAAAAAAATGGAAAGGTTTAGCTGCAAATAATAAAAGAATGGACTTAAGCATTCAAATGCAGACTGAGTGTCTTTGAGCATATTACTGTTATGTCAGCATAGTAAAGCAACTAAACATAAAATAGAGGCATATACAGTGGTACCTCAGGTTAAGTACTTAATTCGTTCTGGAGGTCCGTACTTAACCTGAAACTGTTCTTAACCTGAAGCACCACTTTAGCTAATGGGGCCTCCTGCTGCCACCGTGCCGCCAGAGCACGATTTCTGTTCTCATCCTGAAGCAAAGTTCTTAACCTGAAGCACTATTTCTGGGTTAGCAGAGTGTGTAACCTGAAGCGTCTGTAACCTGAAGTGTCTGTAACCTGAGATACCACTGTAGTCCGTTAAGGAAGGGTGAGGAACATGGACTACAGTTTCTAGCATTCCTGATAATTAGCTATGCTAATTATCCAACCATTTTTGGAGTCCAACGACATCTGGAAGGCCACAGATTCTCCATCCCTGCCCTAATGGCTTGAGAGTAGGTTATTGAACAGCCACCTTCTTCCACCCAACAACTGTAGTCAGCCTTGGGAGTCCCTACTCTGCAAGGGGAGTTGTAGCAGGTAGCGATACTAGTCAGGGCATTTTCAGTTGCAGTGGCCCTGAATGATTACTGTAGCACACTTTGTATGAAGCTGCCCTTGTACAGTGGTACCTCGGGTTACATACGCTTCAGGTTACAGACGCTTTGGGTTACAGACTCTGCTAACCCAGAAATAGTACCTCGGGATAAGAACTTTGCTTCAGGATGAGAACAAAAATTGTGCTCCAGAGGCGCGGCAGCAGCAGAAGGCCCCATTAGCTAAAGTGGTGCTTCAGGTTAAGAACAGTTTCAGGTTAAGAACGGACCTCTGGAACAAATTAAGTTCTTAACCCGAGGTACCACTGTATCTGGTCTGCAAGCTGCAACAAGCAAAGAAAGAAGCCAGTAACAGGAGGATGTTATGGGCAACACATTATTCTTTACCAAGAGAGCTTCAGTGGTTGCTGATTTGGTGCAGAGCTAATTTCAAGGTTCTTCACAAAGCCCAAAGGACCATGAGGACTGTCTGATCCATTATGTTCCACCTCAAGTACTGTGGGTTCCCGGATCCATCTCAGCATGCCTCCTTAATGGCACAATATGACTTGGAACATGACAGTCCATCCTGTATCATCTCAATTTACCTCACCTTTGGGTACATATAGAGCCAATACAGAGCATTAGAACTCATTAAGTCCTAGGTGGAAGAAAGGTCTACTGCTGCCATTGAAAGGGCACCAGACTTGCGCCCAGATTGGCCAGAGATGAGGAACTACAACCGAAAAGGCCCCCTCCTCAATCATTACCCACTTGACCTCTGAAGCTGACTAGACCCATAAAAAGGTTCAGGAAATAACTTAATACTTCCACAGGATCATGAGCAAAATGATGGTCCATAAAGTGTTCAGTTCCCAAGCCACCCAGAACCTTAACAGTCAAAAGCGGTGTCTTTGAATTGTTCTAGGAAACAGACTAGTTTCAAAACAGCAGAAAATAACTCTGGCACATTTCATGGGAAATGTCAATGCTCCATTTTTCCTTCCAAGGTAAAGCAAAAAATGCCTTCTTAAGCTCTTGTCCTAATTAAAAACCCCTTGGCTGTTTGTCATTTAAAAAAGTATAAGACAAAGGAAGCTGGAGTGTAGAATACAAAAGGAGTACAAGATATACTAGAAGAAGTGCCTAGCCAGCTGCTGTTGGAATTAAAAGCTCTTCCGTAATTGAAGAGTGTCATCTGACATGACTTTACAATAGTGCAAAGGAAGGGGGAGGGAGAACAGACAAAGGAAGGAGATCTTCATTAACAAAACATTCTCATAAATGGGACCTCCAAAACAAAAGTGCTTTGGAGGACTGGCATTTTCCATTATAAAGGTAAGAAAGTTCAGCATGGAACTTTTCTTTTTTCTTGAAACTTTTCAGCATACAATACAATTTTTTAAAAAAAGGAAACTGCAGGCAGCAACCATTGTGTGAGTGTCCAACTGATGTGCAACCACTGACACACAGGTCCTTTTGGAGATGGAAGAGGGTGGAACAGGCTGGGCTGGGCTTACGTGAGCTCTGCTGATGTGTGCAGGGGCTAGGAACAGAACCCCTATGCACAATGGTCATCGCATGTAAATAAAAGCAAACAAATAAATAAAACAGAAAAGAGAAAAAAGGTGGAAAAATACACTTGGGAGCCCTTTCTTCTGTGTATCTCCCACCCTTGGAGATACTCCCTTCCCCACCTCTCATATAGGGCCTACATCAGTCATCCATCACCTTCCTGTGTAAACCCTCCTTAAACCAGAATAGAGGACATCAACAAAGCAAAACAAAACAAAACAAAACAAAACAAAACAAAACAAAACAAAACAAAAACAAGAGTAAAGTGGATAGAAGAAGAAAGAAAAAGAGAAAATGCAGGGAATGAAGATCTTGAAGAATAAAAAGAGAAAGAGAAAGAAATTAAGACTTCTGATTCCCCAGCTGTCAATTATGTATATAAAGATTATTCAAAATATTCCAGAATGGTATCCAGCTGTATTCCGGAGAAATATCCAGCTGTTCCTCAATCTGCTAGATTTTTCCAATCTTCAACACCAGACACTTCAAGTTCATTTATTTTCCTTTCCACACAGAAAAAAATCCAAAAGGGGCTCTTCAATTGTTGTTGTTGCTAAATGTCCAGAATAGTCTTTTCTAGTCCAGTATGATGACTTTATCTCAAAGAAATTCCAACATCCAATAAGGCAGCAGGGTCAACATGTTTTAAAGGACCAGTTCGATAAACTGGATGTGACTTCAACAAAGACCCTTTCTCTGGTAGAAAAAGCTACATTCAAAAGAAAATGTAGAGGAGAAGACCCTCTGAAGGCCATTCTAACGCCCCATTCCCACTCCCCTTAACAGGCTTCCACCTGTAAAAATGAGGAAAAACGTTGTTTTTAAGGGTACGATTTACAACAGGACTTATTTTAATAAGTTCTGCCAGCTTACAGTAGCTGGGCTTTTTAGACTATATTTAAGAAGCTAGGAACTACTACATAAAATTCTAAACTAGTAACTGATTTGCAAGGCATCTTACTTGTTTTGTTTAGTAGCAAACCAGGCTTGTAAGCGTAAGATGATTTTCAGTTAAGACACAACATAGAATTCAGTTAAAGCATATATAACAGTGTCACCTTCTTATTCATTTGAATATCTATTCTGTTTCAGCTTACCATTTGAGGAACACTCATTAACTCATTTGTCTACAAGCCACACACTTTTAAAATTTACCACAATACCCCCCCCCCCAGCAAAATCATGCATGTGCAGTGTGGGGAATGGGTGACTTACACCTATTCATTGTCACCATCATTGCTGGTAAGCCTGCTGGTGCTGAAGGGAGTTGGCACTCATGACAGGGTAGGACATCAAATGGTGCTTTGGCAGCTGCCCCCAACCAGCCTCCCGAGGGGAGTGTACACTACGGAAGTCCAGTGTGACCAAAAAGCATACTAGTTCATATTAGCGATGGCTCAGGCCATTGGATTGAAGTTGAAGCTGATTTTAGATACAGTTGAGTGTTGAAGAAGGGGTCTCATCATTCACATTGTGGAGTGTCATTTAGAACGGACTTAAAGCAGCTCTTCAATTCTCTGTTGAGCAGGTGGACACTATTTTAGATTTCTCATTCATAAGGGCATTCCAATGGTTATTTCCTTTTTCTGCTCCTTGAGTGCACCATAAACCAGTTTTCGGTGTTACAAATTATGTGTGCACAGACTTTTTATACACAATTAGTGATGCTGTGGTTGTATGCATATAGGGTATGATCACTGTGTTGGGTGAGCATATAGATAAGGAGGAAGCCCAATGGGTAATGAGACCACTGATCCATAAAATGAAAGTAATAAACAATGTACTGCAGTCACACAATCAGTCAATCAGTAGTTGAACTGGGTTCCACACAGTCACAAAACAAAACAAAAAAGCCACAAAAACAAAAATGTAAAATAAATAGCAAAAACAGACAGACCTCAGCGTAACAGTCAAAATGGAAGTGTGGCACTCAAAACAGAAGTGTAACACTCAAAATGGAAACGTGGCACTCAAAACGGAAGTGTGGCACTCAAAATAGAAGTGTGGTACTCAAATCGGAAGCGTAACACTCAAAACGCAGCATGATCGGCTTCTGAAAAAAGTTCGCAAACCGGAACACTTACCAGGTTTGCAGTGTTTGGCTTCCAAATTTTTTGAGTACCAAGGTGTTTGAGAACCAAGGTACCATTGTACATAACAACAACAACAACAACAATTTATTATTTTTACCCCGCCCATCTGGCTGTGTTTGCCCAGCCACTCTGGGCAGCTTCCAACAAAGATTAAAAATACATTAAAATGTCACACATTTAAAACTTCCCTAAACAGGGCTGCCTTCAGATGTCTTCTAAATATCAGGTAGTTGTTTATCTCTTTGACATCTGATGGGAGGGCGTTCCATGAGGCGGGTGCCACTATCGAGAAGGCCCTCTGCCTGGTTCCCTGTAGCTTTGCTTCTAGTAGTGAGGGAACCGCCAGAAGGCCCTCGGTGCTGGACCCCAGTGTCCGGGCAGAACAATGGGGGTGGAGACGCTCCTTCAGGTATACTGGACTGAGGCCGTTTAGGGCTTTAAAGGTCAACACCAACACTTTGAATTGTGCTTGGAAATGTACTGGGAGCCAATGTAGGTCTTTCAGGACAGGTGTTATATGGTCTCGCAGCCACCTCGCATCACCAGTCTAGCTGCCGCATTCTGGATTAGTAGTAGTTTCCGGGTCGCCTTCAAAGGTAGCCCCATGTAGAGCGCATTGTAGTAGTCCAAGCAGGAGATAACTAGAGCATGCACCACTCTGGCGAGACAGTCCGCGGGCAGGTAGGGTCTCAGCCTGTGTACCAGATGGAGCTGGTAGACAGCTGCCCTGGATTACATGTAATCCAAATGCAGATAAAACTTCTCTATTCCATCAGGTGGTGGGGAGAATTGCTGAATTTTTACTAAACTGTCAGCTGCTGCCAATTGAGATGTCTTTCTTCTTCCTTGTAGACCATTTGTGAAGTTTAGCTTCTTTTATCATGCATTTTATCATATATATTTTCCCATGTTTGAGATACTGTGGGGTTCTCTGGAGCCAATTGTCAGAATAAAATGTATTTAAAATGATATAAATGACTCAAGCTTTGAAAGGGTCCATATCCCTTCCTCAAGGCCACCACAGGCTACTGTACATATGGGCATACTTAATGACTATTTAGAAAAGATCACGAAATAGATTCAATTCATTCTCCCCACCCCATTTTAATGAATACCAGATAGAAATAAAGCTTCATTTAGTAAACATCAAGCAACATGCCATTAAAAAGGATTCACAGTTTAAAATCAATACCTGCATTACAGGTCAGATGAACGTGTTCTCTCTCAGCTTCATTCTCTCCCTCCACTCAACCTTCTGATAACTTGCATTAATCCCATGCCATTTGGTGGAGCTTTACTGTGAAAAGCTGATGTAATATTTATTGATTTACAAGCAACTCTGCCTTTACATTGTTTTCACTCATTCCCAGTTTTTCCATATTCTCTTTTCACTTGAATGCCTGAAACAAATCACTGAAAAATCCATGCAAGGAAGCCTCTCTGGGAACTAATCTTGTTTTCACAGGTTGAAGTTGCTGCCGGGAGACAACTCTGGCACCAATAGAACAGTAAGAATTAGTGAATGACTTTGGGTCAATATTTGGCAGGGGCACATTCTGCCCCCCCCGACTCACTCCCCATTTCTGTCAATATTTGGAATCTGAAATTACAGAACAAAAGGTCCAGACCTTCGGCTGCTAAATCAATAGAACTTCAATTAATTCAATGGGGCTGCAGCAATTTATGCAGGCTGATGGCTTGGCCTTATATTATTGTTCATTTTCGTTATCAAATTTGATTCAGGTTCCCGTTCTTTTGAGCACAATAAACAGAGCAGGTCATCGGCTGCATTGATCTAAGGTTAAGCTCTTTCATTAAATATTCCATTCATGCTGCTTGATTAAAAAATGCTCCGGCTTTGAATTCAGTGAAGGAAATGAACTTAGTTGCAGAGATTAAACTTTTGAGGGCTGCTTTTGTGAATGGGCATATGTTGGGGAACAAAATAAAGATGTATTTATCAGGAAAAGGGAAAGATTTTTCAGTGATCACTTGAAGGAGCCACTGTGGAAAATTCAAGAAGGTTCCCTCTGCCAAATATAACAACTGAGAAGGGACAACCTTTCAGATATTTGGGGCTTAAGTTGTTTAGGGCTTTAAACACTAACGTGAGCACCTTGACTTCGGCCCAGAAAAAGAAAAGGTGTAGTGCAGCTGTTTAGAACAGGGGTCATGTGAGTTCTAAACTGAACCTCTGCCAATAATCTGGCTGCCAATTTTTGGACCAGTTGCTTCCTAGCATGCAGGGCTGAATGTCCTACTACAGGGATGTTGCCCATACTGACAGGGGCTGATGGGAGCTTTAGTTTGAAACATTTGGAGAGCAATATGTTGGCTACCCCTGTCCTACAACATCTACACATATCATTTGCTCTTTCAAAATCATTGCATGTACAAACACCGTTCATCATTATCCATAATAGTGCCCCCTTTCAATGGTTGACTAACCACAGACAGTTGAATTATATCACTTTTGTCAGTTTGAACAATATGAAGAGAAAGCTGGTGGAGAGGAAATGCTCAAATGGAAGCATTTTTGATGTGACAGACAACAATAAATGTTGCTTTCCACATTGTAGCTTTTCATATGGCCATATGGCCAGACAGCTTTCCCTGGAGAATTCTCTCTCTCATACAGAAAAATGAAATAAGGTAGGAAGCTGTTGGAAAAAATAGGAAATATAAACATCACAGATGGCACAGGTGATAGTACTGAGATAAGAAAAAAGAGACTAAAACATCAGCAGCACCCCCCATCCTTCTAATTGGCAGCACTGAGACTAGATGCTGGGAAAAGCTCTAGTTTCAAGCGCTCTACATCTGCAATCATTTTCATGTTTGCATTCACTTGTGGTCCTCATGCAGAAATGGGGAAGCTGTGAACCTTCTAGAGGTATTCGACTACTGGCTGGTTGGGGCTGATGCGAAGTGGCTTCCACAACATTTGCATAGCCACAGGTTACCCCTATCTGTCCCTGGGCAAATCTGCTCTTGCTTTGCTTTGGTATTTGTATAAATAAAGTGTTAGCAAAGTCACTAAAATAACACTGATGGAGTCCAGAAAGGAAATAAAACCCTGATAACACTTTACTGGGAACACCAAACAAAACCCAGTATATACCGCCGTATTTTTCGCTCTATAACACGCACCTGAACATAACACGCACATAGTTTTTAGAGGAGGAAAACAAGAAAAAAAAATATGCTAAACGAAACAGTGGATGTATGAGTTTTGTGGTTCATGCTGTGGCCACAGACATGTGATCTGACAGTGAGTTTGGAGTAGCCCAGTGCAAAAATCCTGAGGATCCATGTGGATCCATGCTTTGTAACCACGTTTTTGCACCACTGCGGCCCCAGGCAACAGTGGGTGCGTGATTTTTTTGGTGCAAGATGTAGCCATGGACATGCTATGTGATCTGATGGTGAATTTGGGGTGACCCAGTGCAAAAATCCTGAGGATCCATGTGGATTTGTAACCACGTTTTAAGTGGGGAGGGAAGGAAAAGCACTCAAGGGACAAGTAGCACGCGTGGGGTGGGTGGAGAAGGATGCTGCTAATAATGCAGAAGGGGGTTTAAGGGGAGAAGGAACATGTGTGGGGTGGGTGGAGAAGGATGCTGCTAATAATGAAGAAGAGGGGTATAAGGGGAGAAGGCTCCTCTCCTCTCCCACTTTGCTCCTTTAAAGCAAGCAGGCTCTGCTTTTCTCCCTCCTTCCCGCTCATCCCGGCTTAGCGAGCTGAAAAACTTTGCTGCTATGTAGCGAGCTGAGTGGGGAGGAGAGAGGGACAGAGAGCCTGCTTGCTTTAAAGGAACCAACCGGACAGGAGCCGCTTACACTCGTGTAAGTGGCTCCTCTCCTCTCCCACTTTGCTCCTTTAAAGAAGCAGGCTCTCTGTCCCTCTCTCCTCCCCACTCAGCGGCTCTTCTCCCGCTTTGCTGTTTCAAAGCAAGCCACGAAGGAGGGAAGGAAGGGGAACCATGGATCCTCTGCTCATGACTGCAGCAGATCCCCCCTGCCACCCGTAAGCATTCCCTCCATAACACGCACAGACATTTCCCCTTACTTTCTAGGAGGAAAAAAGTGAGTGTTATGGTGCAAAAAATACGGTAATCTGCAGAGAAAGGAACACGGTGGCTTTGTCTTTCTTACTTCAGGCCTTGTGCATAGCAGGTAGATATTGAACCAAACTTACAGAAGAAAAATTACTGCAGAATTACACAGCCAATCAGAGCATATGTTACCTCAGTGGAGCCCATGCCACTCCTCCACCAGTGCTGGGTTTAGAGTGGTATTGAGGTTCCCCTGCACAGGGTGCTGAGCCTAGGGGGTGCAGAATAATGATAATAATAATAATAATAATAATAATAATAATAATAATAATAATAATATAAAACCTATATTTATAGGAGTATCAACTGAGAAGGTCCAGAAAAAAGCAACTGTACCAAAAGAAATTATTGTGAAAATAAGAAATATTAAGGGGATGCACAAATTTTTGTCCTCGCTCACAATGCCTTATTACTGAAGTCCTCACCTTTAAATTCATTGACTGAGATTTGAAATTTCTTCAGTGTGAAGCACTGTATATTGGGAAGGGCTGGAGATGAAAGGATGAGACAGAAGTACTTCCATGAATGATTTAGGGGTCATAGTAGGCAAGCCTGGACATAAGGCAACAGCACAATGTTGTGATGCAAAAAGATGAATGCAGTCAAGGTTGCATTAAAAGGATCATCTCTCTCAGCACAGACTTTTCTGCCCTTGGCCCTCAGACCTGTGGCTTCCCAGCCTTGTTGCATGCTATCAGAATAACTCAAAATTCACTGGCCTTAACACACTGTTTTCAGTGCACCTTTATGTCACCCTTCTATCTTCTTCTCAAGACTTAATCTAGCTACTTGTTCTCTATTCCAAAAATGACTACCCAGTTTTGTGAGTTGGACTATGCATGTGCAGCCCTAACTGCTTGGTTGGGTTGGTTGGCTATTTATTTACTTACTTACTTATTTATTTATTTATTTATTTTATTACATTCCTTTATGTAGTACATTTATATCCCATCTATCCTCTAGTGAGCTCATGGTGGTGTTCATGGTTCGCTTCCTCTTCATTTTATCTTCACAACGACCCAGCAAGGTAGCAACACTGCACATATCACCTCTCTGTCAGCCCAATTTCTCACCGAGCAAAGAAGTTTTCTGTATTTGCACGACCTCTAGCTGAATAGACTCCTATCCGTTCACAGGTCCTTCAGTCATAGCTCATCTGCAGCATACAGATTTGAAGGAAAAGAGGTGGAAGAATGTCCTGAATTCATTAACGGAACTTGTTTGTCATAAAAACCACTTCATCACCATCATTTTTAAAATTTGTTTTGCTATTTGCTGTAAATCTCTGGAATTAAAGTGTCTTAACCTCATTGTGTTTATTCATCAATCATAAAAATTTCTTTCCCCATAATTTAGGCTTTGATTGCAATCAACTGTTCAGTGCTTCATGGGCAAAGGGGGGGAAAGAATGAGAAACAACCGACTGCACTTGCAGTCCCTTTTCAGATCTTACTTAGGCCCCATCTGCACTATAAAGTGGTACCTCGGGTTACAGACACTTCAGGTTACAGACGCTTCAGGTTACAGACTTCACTAACCCAGAAATAGTACCTCAGGTTAAGAACTTTGCTTCAGGATGAGAACAGAAATCGTGCTCCGGCGGCGCGGCAGCAGCAGGAGGCCCCATTAGCTAAAGAACAGTTTCAGGTTAAGACCAGACCTCCAGAACGAATTAAGTTCTTAACCCAAGGTACCACCGTACATCTAAAGCAGTATCATGCTAGTTTAGGAAGTCATGGCTTCCTTCAAAGAATCCTAGTAAGTGTAGTTTGCTAAGTATGCCAAGGGTTGTATGGAGACTCCTATTCCCCTCACAGAGCTACAATTCCTAGTGTTCCCAGGGAAGAGGGGTTGTCTATTAAACAATTATGGGGGTAAATATAATCAATTAATTATTCTTTGCAGATTGAAAGCAACAACAACAGAAAACACTGGCAGTGGTGTCATGGGAGGAAGTCACTGGTGATGTCATGGTGCCATTTCCAGTGATGTCATAGACAGGCCCTGTAATGAAGGTCAACTGGGAGAGGGGAGAGTGTCTATACTATAATTTTCAGACAGTTCCTGCTGGTGCTGAAGCTTGCAAGCTACATGCACCGTATTCTTAACATTATTATTTTTTTAAAAAAATTATTAAAGGCATTCTCACCCACCTGAAGATTCAAGCCCTTTATTTGCCATGGTTGGGGGTGGGGGGTGGGCAGACAGACATGGAGACTTCAGGCCAGACATGAAGGTCTGGCAACCCTAAATAGGATGGATGATTTTCAGAGCTTTTTCATG